TAAAAATAACAATTTACGATATCAGACACCATACTCAATTTGAATAACTATTAGACATGCTTTTGAATGGAACGTACCAAAAAGTTATGCCTCTAAAAAGTTGTAAGATAGCAAAATTTTTATTTTTGCAAAAGTCGCACTTCAAAGCACTACCTTGAATATTCTGTTAAAAAACAGAAAGAGTTTTAGAATTTTCTTTGGACTCTTTCACTTATCTACAGATAACAACTTGTTATTACTAAACACAGACTGAAATTCTTTCTCTAGGTAAAAGTGCATGAAAGGAAGAAAATACAAGGTAGTAGTAGGATAATGTTAGTATTACTGCCTTAAGGTTTCTTACCATCTGTTGTAGAGCAGTATGGCCATGGCAGTGGTAGGTGGTAAGCTGGCCAGGTCCACATCCACATGTTTGGTTCCCGGGGGCACTTTGCTGATACACAGAAGCTCATTCAGCAGCATGTTCAATACAGGAACAGATAAGCTATTAATAAATAAATAAATAAATAAATAAATAAATAATCTTGAGCTCAGATTTTTTGATAAGTTTAACAAGTTAAGAGACAAGAAGTAGTTCTCATTTAGAAACAAGCTTAGAGTTCATAAGCTGAAAGAACTAGAACTCTTACTACTGAGATGTGCTGAATTAGCAACTGGAAGCAGTTCAGGCTGCTTTGCTCTCTCTCAGAAAGAAAAAAGAGGGACAAAACAATCTTACAGAATCCCCAAATTAGTCCAGTATTATCATGCAGTAGGACTGATTARTAAGTCAGGATTATATTTGCATTTCAAGAAGTCAATATGTTAATTGACATAAAATACGTCAAGTACAGATATGAATATCTGCAAAAACGGAAGCAGTCCTAAGCACTCACATAATCCTGTACAGTAACTTTCCAATCTATAAAAATACTCTTTGCATATAAAATACMTGTGTCCATACAATATTTTCAGGCTCAACCACAGTAAGAGCTCACTTGCCTAGGTGCTTTGACCATCAGTAATTCAGCCTCAGAATACTTTAATAAGGTAAATAAATGGGACATGGTAATTTTGTCTCTTGTGTTACTCTAGGAAAAAAAGGAAAAAGAACTTGGKAGGCAAAACAGCCAAAGAGATCTCGTTCCAAATCCTTTTGCTGTTTACAACAGCACACTGGAGGAAAAAAAATATATATAYAGTGTTCATTTAATAATAAGAATACAAATAGAAAAGCATCCAGGAAGAGATAAACCCTACCAGTAATTGGATGGACTAAAGTGAATAAAGTTTTTCGAAACATTTACCAAGTTCAGAAATTTCTATATAACAGTATAAAGAACATAAAATTTTCAGACTGACTGAAGACACTAAYAGATATCTAAGTATTTGTTTTTAATCACAAACAATCAATGCAATTTTTATGGAGCTTAAAGACCTCTTCTTTCAAGAAGCCAGCAGCCCTGTGTCTGACAACTGCAATACGGAAGRAAAAGGTGGAGGAGAACAGATCTTACCCCATTAGGTTTTTATGCTGCTGAAGGGCAGTTCCCCAAAACGCTCAGCGCTGCCCCAATAAAGAAGCTCCTGGCTCTCCTACTTCTGCTTTCAGTGCGCCTGCCTAACTCCTGGCAAGGTCATTCAGTAAAGTTTCCTGAGCTCAGAGATCTGCCTCACAGCTACATGGAGGGGCTCCTCCCATTGTCAACAGAACCGAAACAGCAGCAAACTCTGGTAAAGGATTAAAAATAGCATGTTAGGATGGGGAAACTTAGGCTGGCTTTGCAACAGAAGGAAAAACAAACCTAAACTTCATCCTTAGCCAGGTTTAGGCACACACATATCACCATGCCTAATTCCCACTATTTTTCCTCTTTAACTTATTAACAGTATTGATTTATTCACAATGGTGCTTTGGGGAATCTTCTGTCAAAGCTTTGCTAACCTACAGAAAAGAYTGAACTTGATTCCAATTGTCAGAGCCAGGTCAAAAGATGGAAAGATACTGACAGACTAGGGAGCCGAGTGATTCCCTGCTTGTTAAAATACAGAACTCGCAGCACTTCTCAGTCTGACAGCTTCAGCACGACACACGCAGCCCCTACCTCTTCTCCAACACATCCAAATCCCACTTGAGGTGGGCAGCCACTTTGAGAGCGAGGAGTTTCAGGATGCGGTTCCTTTTGTTATCGGGCGGCGGCTGGACCTGGTTCTGCTCGTTCASGGATGGCTTGGAAGCCTGTTCCAAGAACTGCACGATCAGCTGCACGGGCGGGGGGTCTGCGGAAAACACAGGCACTCCTCAGACCTCAGCAAAGCCCAGGACTCCCTTCTCACTGCGCTGTGCCCACAGACAGCGAACTCATCTCCCCAGCTTTGATTACACTGAATTCGGCCAGGCTCCCCACATGTCTCCATTTCATCTTCACATTCACTCAACCACAGTAATTCATACTTTATTTTCACTGCTTTGTATTAACCAATTTCAAAATTTCAGAGCTTACATCTAAAGGAAATGAGTTACTGTCATGACAACTTATCATTGAACTGATAAGTTGTCTGATGTAAAAAATACATAGCTGTTTATAAATCTTTCCTATATTTATGAGCAACTGCTGGAATTTCTGAACATGCTTTGGAAAAAAAAAAAGGCGTTTGAAAAAAGTGAAAAAAATGAAAAAAAATCTTTCTTATAGGAACAGTCTGTCCTGCATCTTAGGGCTGTTTTGAAGAACTGAAGATAAATCAAAATGATTAATGTCCGAATTTGGTGAACTAATATTAACCAATATTTTTAACTGGAAAGTAGCAGYGTAAGAACTAAGGACGCTGACTTAGGCCGTGCTTAGATGTTGCAAAAGCAACACTGCCCAGGCTTGTTCCAGGGACTAGTACAACACAATTCCCAGCACCCTGCTACAGTCTCCGACAGACTGGACGGCTAAAGCACGGCGAGTTTCCCGCGGGGGGGGGGGTCTCATTCCCTTCCCACCGGGGTGGCTGCTCGCTCCGGCCCCAGGCCGGGCGCCCTGCAGCGCCGCGAGCCGCCAGGCCGGGCGGCGCGGCCCACACAGCCCTCGCGGCGGGGCCGCGGAGCAGGCAGGCGAGGCCGGCTCTCCTGCGCCCGCCCGCGGGCCGCGCTCGCTCCAAACGCCCCCGGCCGCGCGCAGCGGCCCCGCGAGGGCCTCGCCGGTTCGGCACAACGCGCCGGGCCGGGAGGGAAGGGCCGCCCGCGGGCCGCACGCACCGGGGGAGGGCTTGCGCAGGTGCTGCTCCAGCAGCGCCTCCTCCAGCAGGAACTCGAACCAGGAGGTCTGCGGCGGCGTGCAGGGCCGGCTCGACGTGGCGGCCTCGCGGTCCGCCGCCTCGGCGCTCATGGCTGCGGCGGGATGGGGCCGCGCGCGGCCCGCGCCCCGGCCCGGCCCGCCGAGGCGGCAAGATGGCGGCCGCGCCGCAACGGAGGGGGCGGGGCCGCGGCCGGGGGAGGCCCCGCCCCTCCCCGCGGGGAGGCGGGAACATGGCGGCCCCATAGGGAAAGAAGAGGGAAGAGGAAGGGGGAAAGGGTTTTCCTCGAGCATGGGGCATTTACCTAGGAAAGGGTGTGCTCCCGGCCCTTTGTGCCGAGGGAACTAGAGGGTAAGGAGCGGTGAGACTCATTTGAGGGACTAATGAGTCCACCTAAGGATTCACGCAAGCCTCGGAGCAGAGCAGGCTACTCACAGAATCCATAGGGTTGGGAAAGGCCTTCGGATCCTCAAACCCGCCACTGCCAGGGCTGCTCAAGCACGTCCCAGCACCAGGATGGGCACTCTGCGCCTCCCCGGGCAGCCTGTTCCAATGCTGCACCATGCTTTCCATGTGGGAATTCCTCCTGACATCCAACCTGATACAGGAATTCCTCATGACGTCCAACCTGATRYAGGAATTCCTCCTGATGTCCCACCTCAACCTCCCCCAGCACAACCTGAGGCCATTTCCCAGCAGTAGCTGATTTAATAGCGATAAAAATGTATATGCATTTAATAAAAATAGTCTAGGAGTTCAAGACTAAGAACAATTTCCATAYTGACAAGCCAAAGGTCTTTTCTTTTGCAGCACTATATACATATAKTTAGTATATATATAATTGTTATATATATATAACATGTCCCAGACTGTATCAGATTTTATAGTTTCTTACAAGATCATACATCTTTTGAAAGCAGCAAAATGCTCATTAGGAAGATTTAGTAATAGTCTCRATAGCTATTCATTTTTTAGCACTTCATAAGAACCATTCAGTGCCCATTTAGCACAAAGAAGCCCATTTTTGTCCAAATCTGTGATAAATAGTGGTCTTTTAATGTCAATTATGTAAATCATTTTATGATTTTTTTTAAGTTCAGTTCATATGGTGTTTTTGTTCACTTTTCGGTGCAAATTATTATCTGTTCTAACAGTACCTCAATATCTTCCTGCTAGGTACAAAACCAATATACATTTGCATTTCTTACACCAAGCAAAACAGCCAATAGTAATGAAAAGCCTACATTTAAAACAATATTTATAAATCAAAGGAACTGTCAATAATAAACACACTTGCACTGTCATGGTATGCTAGCATTAATTATTAACAAGTATAAAAAAAAAGAAGGAAAAAACCCACACTTGGCATGTAAGAGTTTTTAAGGGGTTTGTAAGCACTAACATTCACACATGACCCTCCACACTGGGAATTGTCCCTATTTAAGTGAAGGAAGCAGAGGGAGAGGCAGATGGAATGAGAAAGAACAATTTGAAGTGATTTACCCATTTTTTCCCCCCATTCCACATGTAATTAGAGAAAGGGGTTGTAGAGAAAAATCTCACAGGGTTGGGCAGCCTGTAGGAGTGGGCAAAGTGTGTATGATTTGGGGAGACATTAGAGTTAGAAAACAACACTTGAGAAGAGGAACAGAAATTTAAAATGTTTTCTATTTAATATTTATACCTGTGACTTCACAGTGTAAAATGAATGCAGTTTAAAAAATGTCCCACCCATTGCTATCCACATGATAGGAATCATATTTATACTAGTGAGCAGATAATTCAAGTTCTTGCATCCAGCTCTAGTAATTCACTGTGGTCTACACAAATGAAAAGGGGTTTTATTACACTATTATTATTATGATATTTGATAGAAATCCTACACTTGCTTTGATACTATTTGATACAAATTCTACATTTCAATGTTTTCAAGAAAACTCATACATTAAAAGCCTCTGAACTTCTATTTTTGAATAACTATTTATACAGAGCATATGAAAAGACTGTTCAGTTCGTCACTTCTAGAAAAAGTGAGAATTTCCTACTATTGTTACTAAAAGTTTGCATCAAATAACTTAATTTAGTTCAAATATATATATATTTAAAAAAAAAACGTATTTTAATGTAAAAGAAGTGTCCACATATCAAGGCAATGCTCTGTGTTCCTTTAGCTCCTGTCACAAATGTCCCTCTGAGGGCTGGAAGAGTTCTTTAAGCCTGTCAAACTTGGGCCCCCACTCTTGGAGGAAATCGTAATTTAGATCTTCATCATCGCTAGTGGAGTCCAGGGAACTAAGGCTCCCTGCCACAGAGCCCTGTCCTTCTAAGCAGTAATAATGAAGGGTGTCAGCTGGAAGACTCCGTAGATCATTGTCTGCATTCCAGACAATTTGAGATACATATTCCTTGAAATCTGGGACGCTGGTAACAGCTGCTGTTGGCTGTTTTCGATGGGAACGTTTTGGGAGCGAGTCTCTCTTTGGGCCGTTGGGTCTCCTGGAATGCAGAGCAGCTGCCCTCAAGGAGAGGTGGGGAACCTTTTGAAGAGGTTTCTTTAGTTCATCTATATCATATGCATCCTGAAAGAAAGCATGCAAATATCAGAAAARAAATCATGAAAGAAAACATGTTCCCCAAAATGTTTTAAAACTCAGTGCAACACAAAACCAGATTCTGTAGTCTTCTACTAACAAAGGAGAAGAGAGGGGCTAGTTTTGGCCAGCGATAGGACGAGGGGTAATGGTCACAAGCTGGAGCACAGGAAGTTCCGTCTCCAGGTGAGGAGCAACTTCTTTCCTGTGAGGGTGACAGAGCCCTGGCACAGGCTGCCCAGGGAGGTTGTGGAGTCTCCTTCTCTGGAGATCTTCAAAACCCGCCTGGATGCCGCCCTGTGCCACATGCTCTAGGTGTGCCTGCTTGAGCAGGAAGGTTGGACTAGATGATCTCTGGAGGTCCCTTCCAACCCTGAATATTCTGTGATTCTGTAGTTCAGAGGAACTAGCTCTGATCACACCATATGCCTTTAAACGCCGAGACTTCAGCTAAACTAAGATGCTGGGGACAAAGTGCAAAGTACTGCGCTATCCCCAGCATGGCCCCTTAAAAGGTGACATTTGCCCACTATGAAAAGTACAGATCGGATTGTAATAAAAGCCTCTTGGTGAAGAACTTTTATGAAAAATTCTTAATTTTTCATWTTTTTTTCATTTTCAGAATGAAAAAAAATGTTGCTAAAAGCAATCAAACTAAAGGAACAACTGGGTGAGGGCAACAAAAAAAATTAATGTCTAGGAAAGCAAGGCAAGGAGATATTTGGTTTGCAAAGACTGCACTGGAGCTTCTTCATACCTGGTCATGCTCTCCTCCTCCTTCCTCGTTATAATTGAAGACGTTTTCTCTAACATCCTCCCAGCTTTCACGCTCCTCAGGAATGTGGTAAATTCCTCCCTTTCGAAACCCTGAGGTTCCCCACTGACTCCACACTGTGTAGGAGACCAAGAGAGCTAGAAAAAAATGAGTACACATATTTGTTTTTGACATATGGCAAGGTAGGACATATGACAAACACACAGTTATTATGACTCCTGAGATATCAAATCAGCTCTATTTTGAAAAGCAAATTCCCACATAAGCAATGCATAATTATAAGTGTATATGCAAATTATTTTCAGGAAGGTAAAGAATCATCTTTATATATTCTCATATCTATATTATATATATTACATCATAAACTTCATTAACAGAGTATTTTACTTACCTAAAGGAATCCATTTAAATAGAAGGCATTTTGGCCAATCTCTGGCCTTTCACCAATCCTGAGTAAATAAGATACCCAAAGTAAGTAAAACACTGTTTTAATGAAGGTTACAAGTGTAATATAATCACTGGAAACTTTACTATTCTGAGATGTGTATGCAGTTTTTCATTATCAGTATGGGAAATGGGCAATTTTGTGGCATATTATTATTTTAATCAAACTGCATCGCAAACTGGACACTTTTTGAGAATTCCTTTTTTCACCCTGCATTCTTAGTAAAGTTTGCCTCATTCGCATGACCACAGAGTTTATAAAATCTCTGGAAAATCATCATGCCTTCCTAGCACGTGAACAGCACACAGCAATTGTAGGTGCTACATAATACACACGTGAGTGTTCAGGGAAGGTGGAAGTTTCAGAGGAAAATATGGATCGCATTTATTTGCACACACAGATGGAGAGTCTCTATTTAAGGAGGAGTGAAAATAAGTGATTCTGAAGAGGGAAATTCTGAATTTGCTTGGACTTGCTTTAAGCAAGTAAGCTGTAACCATGTGCTGATCTCTTAGCATCCTCAAATGAACTCCAACTGGTGATCTCTGGAAAAGACTAAGCACTGGTCATAGTAACCAAGGAGTAAGGCAGACTCGACTCAATGGAGGAAGGTGCATGATGAAAATAATAATAATAAAAAAGAGCAAATGAAAAACAATGCAGGAAATTTGCTTTCCTACCTAGGAAGACAAGGAGGCACATGCTGATTGCCAGAATAGAGCCAGAGCTGAGGCCGACCGGTCTTCCTGCTTTCACCTGGCTGATCTCACACCACCTCCCCTTGTACCCGTCGGGGCACTGGCAGACAGTCTTGTCTGGGGACTGGGCCACGCAGGTACCCCCGTTCCTACAGGTCCAGTGTCCACACGGCGACGAGGTGCAGTGTCTGAGCCCTGTAAGGTTATCCGTCACTTCTACCTTCCCAGCTGGACACCTGGACAAACAAACAAGGAAGCACAAGATACCTTTGAGGCAGGAAAAACACCTGGAGTTGGGTACTTCTTGGTGTAGATTTCTTTATTTCTTTAAAACTAACAGCAAAGCTCTTTATATGGATGAGTGTGAAAGGCCAACAGGAGGGAGGCCCAAGGGAAAAGGGGTGGCAAGCAGTTGGTGCCAGGCTGGCAGTGTTCCAGGGGAGCTTTGGGGAAAAAGAGGTCATTGCCCTGCGGAGAACAACCCAGCTTCGCTTCCAGGACCTCAGCCTGTGTTTTCTTCTGATACCATTTGGAGAGGCAGTGCAGGAATGCMCAGGGAGCACAAGACCTGCCCTCAGCTCTCCAAAGAGCAGAAAGTTCAGTGCCAGGGAATAAATGGAATAATCCTTCCAAATTGTTCTGTTACAATTCAAGTTACAAGGCTCAAGAGAGGAGCGTCCTGAGGCGTTTTTATAAGACTCTCTTCTATCTCACAGCCTCTTTGATGCTCCTATCTCCAGCCATGACACAGCTTCATTTAATTCTGGCTGACCTGGAAGAATTTAAATGGCACAAGCACCTCTGCCTAGTCTTGTATGATTGCTTTTTTATTTTTTTCATTTTCATGTTTCAATACATTGGTGATTTTTGTCAAAGGTTGGGTCTTCCTCAAGAAATGTATTGAACACAGTACCAAGCTRGGGGCTCTGGTGCTGGCCTTGGGCAGCCAGTTTTAGAAACCCGTTTTGTGACAGGAATTTTGAAAAGCTCTTTGTTTTTACACAATGTATTATTAATTTCAGCTTCCTTACAGTGTGTAGATATACACACACATGTATGTGAAAGTATGTACAGAAATACAGAGAGATCAAGTCTTTTGCAAACCTGCTTTTACTCAAAAAGCATTTCATTGCCTCCCTGGCCTGTGGATCTTCTTACCATGGGAAAAATGGGGAAGAAAACAGGTTCCACACGAGACTTAGAGGAAACWGCAAGTTTGGCTGTGACAGGAGATGAGACGGAGAGCAGGATTTGTCCCTGGGATGCCCCTCTGCCCAGCAGCAGGAGGGAGTTTCACCCTTAACAGCAATTCCGTGCCCAGGGGTGGGAAGGAGGAGCCCGAGGGAAGGCAAAGGCTTCACGTACCGGCACTCGTACTTCCTCCACAGGTCGACACAGAAGAAGGGGCTGTAGCAGGGCTGGCTGCTGCAGGCGGTGGAGTGGCAGCCCATGGTGACGCCCTGTCGCCTCCGGACGGGGCCCAGCTCCGGGCTCTGGCCTTGCCCGAGCAGCGGGCGCCCGTTCAGCCGCACGTCGCGCATACAGCCTGCGTGTACAGAGCAGCGGCTGCAGACACACACACACACACACACACACAAACACACACACACACAAACACACACACACACACACACACACACACACAGAGCAGCGGCTACACACACACACACAAACACACACACACACAAACACACACACACACAAACACACACACACACAAACACACACACACACAAACACACACACACCCTGCTCCCAACCTCCCCCATACACCTTGCCCCAACACAATTAATAAGCAGGAGATCCTGAACATGCTGCGAGGCTGAACAGCTTCATGAGCACCTTACACCACTTAGGGCAGTTTTCTTTTAGAAAAACTGCGGAGCACCTGGTGCCCTGATTTAGTGACTGATCTGCAGTGCTGCTCCTCGAGGGCAGCTTGCTGCGCCAGGGCAGCGATTTAGCACAACTGTGCTATGAACCAGAACACCTTTGTTACATTAAGCTAGGCTTAAAAACGCAATCACAAAAATGGGATTGAATGAGAAGGAACGTAATGGAAAAGCTGCCTTCTGCTGAGCTACAAAGCCCCGACGCCTGYACTGGATAAAATGGAGGCAGAACATGCCTTTATATCCTTACYCTCCTTCTAAAAAATGTGGTGGCTGCTCCTTAAGCCTTTCCCAGTCAAAAAGAGAGCGCAGACCCCAGCATGACCTGGGATCATTAACTAAAGCCTGAAGTGCTACTCTGTACAGAAAATCTCACATCTTCCCTAGGACTAAACACAACGTCAACTAGAGAGTAGAGCATTAGCTCTGAATTCCTCAGCAGAGGAGATGGGATATCAGACTGGAATTCCTGCTTGCATTTTAGACTCTCCCCCACCCCTTGTAGGTTTTAACGCTCTCATCACACCCCTTACCTTGGAAATCACTCTCCGAAAGGTTGGGAAGGCGGTTTCCTAGCACGATGCTTGTCCACTCCATTTCAAACCACCTGTTTGGGCCCAAGACAGAGGTCACTTCTTGGTCACCTCCACCATCGTTAACGCGCAGGGTGAATTCGTTGTTGTAGCGCTCCATGGTCAGCAGCACCCACTGGCCATTGTTTATACGCAAGGTGCTCAGCCTCAGGGAGTAGTTTTTGTCCTCCAAGCTGAAGTTTACACTGAAGGAACCCCCAGCCACCTAAAAGAAGATGGTAGAGACCTTTACTCGCAATAGAAATGAAAACCTGAATGTAGTGATAGTGGACTGACTAAGAAATGGAACACAAATGGCACTCATGCTTTACTGCAAGATAAAAGTTACAAGAACAAACTAAACTACAGGTCTAGGAATTGCCAGCTTTTTCCCTACAGGCTTCTAAGTAAGATAAGTTTTACCATCAGTTTCCTCCCTTTTTTATCTCTAAGTCTTCCTAGCTGACCCTCCAGTTATAGGTGGAATAATTAGTCTCTACTTGGCTAATATAATGCACATGGCTTTCAACAGCAACAAAAAATATCAGAAATTTTACAGAGAGTCTGAAGCAGAGAAAAAGCAAGCTAGACAAAACACTCTTCCACCTGTATCCCATGCACTCAGCTGCCCTTTTGGGAGCTGGAATTTGTGTTACAAAATGCTATTACCACAGTCTCTTGCATCTAAGAAACACAGTTCTGGCTGTGCTTTTCTTCTAAGAAGAGCAGCACAAACGAGAGCAGTTGTTCTCATGTGGAACACGTTTGGTCTCTATTACATTGAGGAATAGCTGTCTTTGATCAGAGAATAATCTATGTTTTTCTCTCGCTGAGCTACTGCTGTGACAGATGCTGAGTGGCTGTGGGATGGGTCACCTCCAGGCGGACGTATGCGGCGGCGCGCGGCGCGGCCAGGCTGAGCAGGGTGCCGTGGGCGATGCGGGTGCGCACCATCAGCTGCACGTGGGTGCTGCGGGTGCTCGGGCTGCTGCTCGGCTCGTAGTGGATCCAGCTGTCCCTTCCGAAGGCCCATTCCGGGAGGGCTAAACACAACACACGAAAAGGGCATCRCGGGAAATCTCCAGAGTTTTAAGAATTTACTGGTTCCCAATGGCGGAAATGGCTATTAAGGAACTCCAACTTAATGAAATGTCACGGGAAGCACCCRCTGCCTCCAAGAGGAAATTCCCCCCAAGGGAATTAAGAGAAAAATACAGAATTTGGGCACACATAARGATTGGATAATGTCTCCAATATTCCGCCTGTCACAGGCGGCACATTCACCCAAGCACTCCTGCACTACCCAACAACCTTATTTATTTATGTTCAATCTAAAACATATCCTCCAGTCAAGTATTTGGCTTTGATCTGAATATAAAAAGATGTAGAATCTAGTGTTGTCTTCAGTAACTTGGTCTGTGGTTAACAGCCTTTTCTCTACAAAATGTGCACCTGTAATGCCACTTTTCGTTCAAATCACAAAACTGAGGGGGATAATTCTCTTCAAACACTGCACAAAGCCCCAGATTTTCCTGGGTACAAGTGTTCATTACGGACTGTTATTCCCAGCCCCATCATTTGTACCTTGTATGTAGATAGAAGAGATTGACAGAGGGCAGGTAAAGCTCCAATAATACTGCAATTCACATCTGGTCTKACGTGTACTTCACAGCAGCGGCTGTGGCTCTGTGTGGAGAGCTGCTGAACACCCTGCTTTAGGGAGCCAACTTCAAGCACATGCCCCCGTGCCCTGGGCCCTGGGCTGCTGGGAGCCCTTCAAACATCAAAGGATGTATTTATTAAATTTCTGGATTGCTAAAATTTTGCACTTTTTAACAATGCCTCTGAGGGGTTTCATTATCCACCCTTGCAAGTTTTTGTTCTCTGATGCATGTTTCCTGCTGATTTTGTACGGGATAACACATTTGCTGGAACTAATGTGATATTATGTCCTTACATAAACCCATTACTGTGGTCTAAAGGAGTTTCACAAGCTTGAGGTCACCCCAGGGACACAGGGAAATGCAATCATCCTTATTTTATAGATGGAAAACTGGGCCTGGGGGAGTTGAGGGATGTATCCCCAGGTTTCACAGGGAGAACCAACCAGGATCTGCCATGTGCCAAGCTGGCATCTAGTCACTCTTACAATCCCCACAGGATGACAAATAGCACCATGCCCACTAAATTTCATTTTATGATCTGTGCAGCTACAGTAAGAATACTAATGCAAAATGATTCATCTTTCACTATTGAGAAATAAGATGATGTACAAACAATACAAACCCACCCATCTGACCACTCGCTTCCTCCGCAAAGCAAAGCAATCCAAATTCACCAAGAGCCAGAAGGATCCTTACATGGCTGCAGGTCTAAATCACACTCAAGTGCAACAGGAAACCRTTAAGCCATTCGGTCCCACGTCCCGCAATTTTGCAGCAGTCTGTTCTGATGCCTGCTCCCACAGGTGACTCCCTCCCCGAACTTTGGGTACCTTTGTCACATGCTGGTCCAGCATATCCTGGGGAACAGTCACAGTGAAAGGAATCCCAGGCAGCCACACACTTGCCGTGGGTGCCACAGGCGGCTGGCCCGGCTCTCTGGCACATTTCATCCGTCAGGCTGCACCCAGGGGAGCTGTTCAGGGACTCTGCAGGGTGCTCCAGATCATAGACCTGCAAGAGGCAAGAGAAGCACCATGCGAGGCGCCCACCAATGGCACCAGCCAATGCCAGTGCCGATGCTCCTGGCAGCCCTACCTTACTGTCAACAATGACATTGCGGATGCAGCCAACAAAACCTTGGAAGCGCTGCTGGGAACTGGGGAAAGGCAAAGTCTTCTTAACTCCACCCAACTGCAGGGGCTGGTGACCACTGAAGAGTTCACGCATGCTGCAGGGAAAGCAAAAGTTAGTGACACGTAAATATAAAATCTTGGCTGATTTTATTTCCCCTCATCTCCCCTTCCTTTGATTCTAAGCCCTGTTCAGTGTTTCCAGGTTACGATGTTCATGTTTTTTACCTCTGAATTCCCATAGTCTCTTCAGAGGCTTCACAGGCAGCCAGATCCACTTGGGAGATCTTCTTAGCGACTCTGCTGTTGTCTCTAACTGAGACATTTATGCAGTGGTCAAGAATCAGCTTCACTTTCTGGAGAAAGGCATTACTGAATTGCATCAGGAGACAGCAATACATTTAATTACATATTTTATTTCAGTAAGCAGAAGGGGGGATAGTAGCTAGAAATTAAAAGGTAGAGAAGTTTATTAAAACAATAAAACACTACTATGTACTAATCTGAGAAATCACTGCACATGTCATATAACTAAGGGACCTACCAGAGAAGGCCGAGTCACTAACACAGTAAAAAGAGAGAAGATTTTACTGGAGGTTGCTGCAGGTTCCCCATCCCAGATCCTGACATACCCTCAACCTGTCCCATGGGGTAGAAGGAGGAGCAAACCAGCAGAYGCCTTCACCTGTACTGTATCAGCAAGAAATTCCCCTTTTACAAAGTGCGTTTGTCTAAACTCACTCACTGGGCCAGAGCTTCTTGCTCACAGCAACGAAGGCCCTTTCACTCCATCAGCCCAGGAACAAACCTGTGTTTGCCTTTCTGGGCTATCTCAAGTCTGTGCTCTAATTGCTAGGCAAAATTATTAGACCAAAAGAGCAGGGTTCACTTCAGAGCTGGATGCGACTGCTCCAGGCCTTGTCGTGAAGCGCTGCCTCGAGATTAAGGGRAGGCCTCAGCAGACAAACTTTAGCTCCCACTGCTGCAGTGGTGAGCGACTGGAGAGCTCCAAGGAAGCCAGAAAGGGTTCTGAAGGGATCACTAGATCCAAAAAACGGTGCTCCCAGAGGATTGTCCCTGCTTACACTTGCCTTTCCGTCGTGTATGATTTTGATATGGTGCCAGCGGTGATCCGCAACGTTCACGTCTGGTGACAGCTGCAGGAGGAGCTCCCCAGAGCTGTGCTTCACCGTCAGCGACGGGACACCCGCCGAGAGCTCTGCAAAGGAAAGACTSCAGGATGAGCATTCCCCACAGCAACCCTGGCAAACTCCATGCCACAGATTCCAGTCTGAGGAGGTCTTTACATGGGGGAAGAAATTCAAATTAAAGAATGCAGCTTCTAGTACAGTGACAAGAAATAGCCTAGGAATCCTGGCAAATTATTCAACATTCTCCTAATTTTAGAGGAATATCCTTCCAAACTATTTAAAAACATTATTAACTGTAAGCAGAATTCCAACTCACATAAAAACAAAGAAAAATATTTTTTAAGTTTTTAACCTAATGCAATGAAATCTTCCTTTTCTCCAGGCTGTCCTCGTGCCACTGGGCCCTGGTAGAGCAGAAGGCCATCAGCCACATCAGTGATGAACTCTAAGGAGATACGGCTCTCAAAGCAAGGCTTCAGAGGAGGGAACCAGGCATAGCCATGGCCTCTGAAGCTGTGTTTTGTCTGCTGGCAATCTGGTCCATGGAAATTTGCAGGACATTTGCACCTGTAAAAAAAAAAAAATACATAAATCAAAAGTAATTTCCACCACCCAAGCAGAACTCATGAAGGGCCTTTCCCACAGCAGAGCTTCCCACTCCAACCACGGGAGCCCACGTTGCTCAGACACTAGTATGAGCTAAACAAGCATTAGCAAAGCACCTCAGTCTCAAAATGTTCTCTAATGATTTCKTTATACACAAACTGCTTGGCTTGAGATCCAAATCACACTATGTCTATGTATGAATAATTTCACAAATAAATAATCGGGCCTATGTAGTACAGAAAGCACTTGGAAACTTCTGTTCTCTTTAGCAGAAGAAGAAATCAACATTTCACTAGGCCTAGTTACCAGYTGGATTAAAAAGACTTCATAATGTTGAGAGGGAAACCAACAGAAGAGTGCAAGGAAGCAAAAGAAACCAGGCAAGACTGGCTTTGCCTACCCAGAAAAAAATAAGGAGGGATGAGTGTCACTTACTGGCTCACYTCCTTTATACTAGGAAGAATTGATGTTCAGGGTGCAGTCTTTATTTGTTAACACAAGTGATCGGAAATGAACAAAGAGTAAGCACAGCAGGACAACAAGGAGCACTGCAAGAGGGAAACCAAAGGAGCAACAGAAATGGCAAAGGAAGGACAGAGGGAAAACAGCTGGGCACCTCTTTTATTATTTCCCATAGTCTCCAGTATCTAATGAGAGCAGAGTAAGAGGGACAGGTCAGGAAAAAAAAAAAGATTATTGATAAAAATATGGAAAATGGAGCAAGAGACTCAAAGGTGGGGAAACGAGAGGTGTCAGAACACACTGTTGAGCATTACAGCATTGCCAGGGCAGCAGAACTTCCCCGGCTGGCTACATCTGAGCAGCAATTGGGACTCATTTATACTTTTACCACATCAAGCACTTCCACAGCTTCAGTCCAAGTCCTCTCACCTCCCCTAGGAGCTGCTAGACAGTTATTCCTGCCTTCCCATGTAGGGATATTTCTTTGAAGCAAACATGGAGTCTCCTTCTCTGGAGTTCTTCAGAACCCGCTTGGACGCTRCCCTGTGTCCCATGCTCTAAGTAACCCTGTGTGTGCAGGGGCGTTGGACTAGATGATCTGTAGAGGTCCCTTCCAACCTTAAGCATTTTGTAACTCTGCGCTTAGGTCTCGCTTTCTAAAATGGTGCCAGGTGCACGCTGAGCTACTACAATCCCATGTTGGTTTCATCTTCATGCTACTTTTGCTTATGAGGTGCCCTTTTTTAAGGAAAAAAATAAAGGGGGGCAAAGAACATGGGGAAGAG